GACGTGCCGACGTCTGATGTGTAGTCATGCTAATTACAAACTTTTACAAGCTGATAAATCTCAAAATACATGAGTGGCATGGTCGAAACACACATCAATACTTTTCATTTAAACTGAAGTCCAACACGAGATCCAGAGGGTGAAGCAAAGCGGATTAGAAAATAGCTCTTTTAGCTTGCATCATTTTTTCCTTCTGACAGGGACGCATGAGCCGACCGGAAAGGGAGGAGCCCTCGGCTCCCTATTCCTCTACTCCTGGTGCTGCGGGTCCCACAGCGGGTCTGATCCCTAAACTTTGGGAACCACTGACTGCTGAACTGACTGAAGGTTGATTTCTAAATTCTTAAAGCTGCAGTAGCAAATCTGCAAAGCAAGCAAAAAAGTCACAGAACTCCCACCTCTCCTGGAAACTACCATCCACGTCCATCTGAACGTGCAAGCAAGAGAGTGCAAAACTCCAAACATCTCTTTGTTTTCCGTGACTTCAAATGGTGTTTTTCTTTTTGGGACTCTGGTAGTTTGTCCTAAAGTGGAAGAGGTAGCAGCCGGCTGTTTCTCCTTCTCTGTTATTGGGCGGAGAACCTCTCACACCAGTGGTGTTATGTTGCTAAATGTGTGAGTGCACAATGAATGGAGGACCAGGGAAGTGCGGTGGTTCAGTGAGACACCTTGCTGGTCCAATAGTTGGTTTTGGACCGAGTCGTGTTATCAGTGCAGGTTTTTGGACAAATATTAGAGAACCGCTTTATATCTCTGCAGTTTATTTACAGCTATACTATGTTAGAATGTTGTTAGGAGGCATTAAAATGTTTTAGCTCATTTTGCAGATTTTAAGTTGCAGCTTTCAGGATTAGGACACTTGAGGAAGTTATGAAAATGCTTCCTTTCATCATTTATAAGATAATCCTTACTTTTTATCTAAAAAACGTACATTTCCAATCTTAAAGCATCATTTTGTTCATTTCTTTTAAAGCCATACTTTGCAACTTCTTCCTATTTTTAAATCATCTCCTTGAGCCCGTATGTGCTAAAATGACCCTTTTAGGGTTAATGAAAGGTCACTCAGACCCCACCTCCCTCTGTGGCCAGAATACCGCACTTGCAACTTCAGAGTGGCAGGTCGCCACTTGTTATGGAGCTGACATATCTGGTGCTGCAGTCTTAGGGTTAGAGTGACATTTCATCAACCCTGTAAAGCTCATTTTAGCACACACTGGCTCAAGAGATGTGCTTAAATATGACCAAGTTTAATAGAATCCCTTTAAATGGGGACCAGTAACAAAAGAGCAGACGCATTTCCTAAAGTCTGTGGGCTCACAATATCCACGTTATGTTTCCAAAATCATATTCTTTAAGATAACAAGACATTTTAAATGTTTTTTAACGGTTTGAAATAGATTTCAGAAATGCAGCATCTTTTAAACGTATTCCTTTAAATATTTCTGTTTTTCTCTGCAGATGAACTCCGTTCAGTAGCTGCACCCATTTAAGGTTTTACCTTCCATGACTCTAACACAAGCCCAAAATAATACTTTTAACCTCGTTTCTGTCTAGTTTCATCCATTTCTATAGTTGAGTCCATTCTGAGCAGTTTGCCCCACGTGAACCCGTAGATGGAAAGCATGAGCTGATGAGGATACTGAAGCTGCGATCGGTGATCTCCAGGTTCCACAGGTTCACCCGAAGGTCGTCGGTGGAGATGAACGTCTGAAGGTCGGAGTTGACTGAGATGGAGTTGATGTGGTATGTGTGGGCGTTGCTGAAGACACGCCTGGCTGTGGCCTCCACCATCAAATCCATCGGCTGCAGCACCGGCACCTGAGGGGTCATTTAAAAAATGTTAATATTCAAGAAATGCAAACCTGTATAAAAAGCTTTGATGTGTTTACTTGCACTGATGCATTATTCTGTTTGATTTCATGTGTGTGTGTGTGTGTGTGTGTGTGTGTGCGTGCGTGAGAGAGAGAGAGAGAGACACAGCCAGATGACTCTAGGGAGTCATTTGACATTTACTCCTCACATCGTAGTGAAACAGAGACAGACAGTGAGCAGAGCCCAGACTGTTTGATGAGCTGGTTTAAACTGTTTGCTGCTCAGACGCTCAGTGACCCCCCCCCCTAAATAAGTCACCCCTGCCCACTCACTTGTGTGTGGGTGTGTGTGTGTGTGAGTGTGTGTGTGAGTGTGTGTGTGGGTGTGGGTGCGTGTGGGTGTGTGTGTGTGTGTGGGTGTGTGAGTGTGTGTGTGAGTGTGTGTGTGGGTGTGGGTGTGGGTGTGAGTTGGTGTGTGTGTGTGTGTGTGTGTGTGTGTGTGTGTGTGTGTGTGTGTGTGTGTGTGTGTGAGTGTTGGGGTCAGAAACACAGACAGCCTGAGGGCATCGCCAGGCCCTGCTGAGGAATGATAACTGAACTCTGCAGCATTAAGAGGGACTTGCATACACTTACACCAGCACACGTGATCTCTACAGGCTTCAAAGAGCCCCAGCTCCAGTCTGCATGCACCCCTCCCCCCCCCCCCCCCCCCCCCCCCCCCCACCCCCCCCCAGACAAAGAGAGGAAAGAGGGAAGGGAGCAGGAGAACAAATCTTCTTTTACATTTTTCCCTTTCTTTGTTGTCCACTGTTGGCAGTGGAAGAGAGACACGACAGCCCAGCAGGCTGCTGTATCTCCATGGGTGTCTCTTCCTTTCCATGTCTTTCTCCTGCTGTCCAGAGAGACGAGAACCTTATTAACCCCTAACCCAAAACACTAACAGCTACACTGCTCAACCTGCCCCCATTCGGTCCTGCTAATCTAATAATCTTCCTTAAAGGTCAGAAAAGAGATTTAATAATGCAATTATCTTTATTTTAAACAAACCTAAAGACCATCATTTAAAGGATAGGTTCTCAAATAATGTACGGGTCTTTTTTATCCTAATCTCTGAATTTTGAGTAGAATGGTTGTTTTTTTTTCTGCTCCTCCCTCCTCCTCGGCTTTCTCTCTGAGAACACGTCAGGCTGTTAACAGGATTGCCACGGTCCCAACCCATCCTCCAGGTTGCTACGATCCCCCGGCCAGCCAGACAAAGAGGGACAGGCACTGAGCACAGCACTGATCTACTACACACACACACACACACACACACACACACACACACACACACACACACACACACACACACACACACACACACACACACACACACACACACACACACACACACACACACACACACACACACACACACACACACACACACACACACACACAGGGAGTGAATGATCTCTAATAATCTCTTTTCAGCAGACAAACTGATCAGAACTGTCTCATAACACGACTCCTCACATGCACTGGTACGAAAGGACAACACCATCTGACCCCATCTACACATGAGAAAGGTTACTAAATAAAAATCTGATTTAATGGTTTTGGAAACATGCCGTAGTGATGAGGAGAAAGAAGACTTCTAAACGGGTCTAGGCCACATCTGTTATATTTTAAATAATTCCACTGAGAATAAAAAAGTAGCAAAGCTGCACTGGAATGCTGGGATGTCCTGAAGTCTTGAACACAATATCAACGTGGAGCGCACTGGATGTGAGGACTAACCTGCTTCCTTTTGATTTACAGAAATGCACGATGTGAGTGGGCGGGTGGAGCGAGCTTGTACTGGATTCATCCATTCATCACACCCTTAAACTGACAAATCAGATACTTTAACTATAGATGAAACGTCGATGAGCAGATTGATTCTTCAAATAACAGAAGAAAAGTGGAAAAGGTGTAGCTCTGTTTGTGTAGAAAGGATGTGTTTCCTATAGGGCCATGCAGAACTCTTCCTCTGCTGCCATTCTAGTTAAACAGTGACAACAAACTCTGAGTGTCCTCCCCCAATCATGTAGATTAAATAATACTCTGGAAAAAAAAGATTCATTTATGTTTTAGTGTTTCAAATGTAGAAGACACGGGATGTCCCGTTCCAAAACCGATTCACAGTCTTTGGGCCTATATCGGACCTGTTTCCAATATCAGCCCAAAAACAGTGAATTGGATTACATCAGACTGCATCAAAACTCTCCGATATCAGCAATCCATTCTGCTTTAAACTCCATTCCAGCATTTCTATCCAGCAGCGCTTAGATCAAGCAGGCAAAGCCCACGTGATCAGACCAGTGCAAGCTGGCCAAGTAGCAAGGAACAAGAGCAATGTCGGCCATGTGGCAGCATTTCTCATTAAAAGTCCATAAACGACAGCGTGGTTCACGGCATCACTTGTCATGCACAAGTTTCCCGTGATGGAACAGAACCGGGAGCGTTTAATACGTCCAGCCTCATCGTGCATTTGAAGCAGCATCACAAAACCTTGCATGAGAATTTTCACAGTGTGTGAAACTGAAACTTACTTGATCGAGCCTTTCATACATTCTATGAAGTAGGTAAAATGTATCATTTGTGCCGGTATTGTATCAGATTGGTATCGGTATCGGTTGATACCGAAGGCAGCGATATCGGTATTGTACCGGAAGTGAAAAAGTTGTATCGAGACATCCCATCTCACTGCTGAGTTCATATCTGCTAGAACTTCTAGTGTTAGTGAGCCAGGATTTACAGAACACACACACACACACACACACACACACACACACACACACACACACACACGCACGCACACGCACACGCACATGCACGCACACACACACACACACAAAGTCACACCCACATACTCACACACACACACACACACACGCATGCACACACACACACAGACGGGATCGCAGAGGGGAATTTAACCCTCAACCTTCTGCAGCTACACTCAAATTTAAGGGACATTTTTAAGAGTTTAAACATTTTTGAATAAGAGTGCATGTGTCTAAAATAATTACATCAAACCTTGTTTTGTTTAATCAATATCTATTCTATTCTATTCTATTCTATTCTGTCATGCCGTGCAAAAGCACCCACATCACTTATTTTGCTTCCCTGCTTCAGTTTAACACTCCCATAATGCATCACTATCGTGAGATCACACGATACCTCGAGACTTTAAAGATGATGTTTTTTTATTCAATCCACCATTAAACCACAAAGAAGTAAATCATGGTTGATATCGCTGTTTGATGTCATATATGATGTTGTTCCTCTCCACCACCAGGATTAAAGCCATGAAACACACCGCTGCACTTCTGGAACGATGCTGGGAGTAAATAAGCTGTTAGGTCACACGTAAGCTTCATATATATGAAATTGCATCACTGCAACACTTTTATTTTGAAAATTACCAGGATTTTACACTGAACCATATGTGATTTCCTGTCTAGCCCTATGCCGATTGAGGTGATTGATGCATCCCAGTAGCGGCTCGTGGAAAAAATCAATCAATTCAATCAATCAATTTTATTTGTAGAGCACCTTCCACAACGTTATCAGAAGCCCAAGGTGCTGAACAGCAACATCATAAAAAACATTCCCAATACCTGGGCATAAAAGCAAGATAAAAACATAAAATCATAAAATAACAAGCAAGCAATATTAAAAATACAGAGAGATAACGGAATAAGACTAATCAATTAAAAACAAATGGTGGACACAATAAGATCTAGCATCCTGATCAAAAGAAGAAGAATTAAACCATAATGTCAGGGCAATTCAATGAACCCTAGCGCTGAAAAGCAATCATAAAAATGAGTCTTTAGACAGGACTTAAAGACTGGAAGGGACGGTGCCTGCCTAATGCTCAATGGCAATTCATTCCACAGAGTTGGAGCCAAAACAGAGAATGCACGATAACCCCTCGATCGATATTTCGACCGGGGGACCACCAGACGTCCCTGCTCGGCTGAGCGAAGAGACCAAGATGGAGCATACCTGTGCAAAAGTGCAGTAATGTAAGAGGGGGCACTGCCCTGGAGGGCTTTATAAATGAGAGTTAAGATTTTAAATTTAGCTCGGAATTGCACCGGGAGCCAGTGCAGAGCAGCCAGCACTGGGGTAATGTGATCTCGACATCTAGTACCTGTCAGGAACCTAGCCACTGAGCCATGCAACCGTGCACTGGGCCAGACCAGCATACAGGGCGTTACAGTAGTCCAGACGGGACAGGACGAAAGCATGCAACACAAACTCCAGATGAGCTCTGGACAGCAGAGGCCTGATCCTGGATAGTCGTTTCAGGTTAAAAAACAGGACCTCACCACTGTATTTACGTGAGTGTCAAGATTAAGTGATGAGTCAATTTTAATCCCCAAATTACTGAACATTTTCTTTTCATAGGGGGTCAATGGGCCAAGGCCAGTATCAGCACCTGAGCCATTTCTTCTGCCAGGACTAAGTATTATGACTTTCGTTTTGCTCTCATTTAGGTGCAAAAAATTATAAGCCATCCAACATTTTAAGTCCTTCAAACAATCCAGTAAAGGAGAAACAGATCTATACTTCCCACGTCGAAGGGGGAGATAAATCTGGCAGTCATCAGCAAAAAAATGAAATTTCACATTATGCTGACGAAGGAGGACACCAAGAGGAAGCAAGTACACCACAAATAGGAGAGGACCAAGGACACAGCCCTGTGGCACACCCCCAACAAAGTCTCACGCAGGGTGACGTTACCTCACCCATCTGAACACTAAATGTCCTGTCATGAAGGTAGGAGCGAAGCCACTGGAGGGCCTGCCCAGTTATCCCCACCCAATGCTGTAGTCGGTCCAGAAATGGTAAATGGTAAATGGCCTGTATTTGATATAGCGCCTTCTAGAGTCCTGGAACCCCCCAAGGCGCTTTACAACACAATCAGTCATTCACCCATTCACACACACATCCACACACTGGTGGGGATGAGCTACAATGTAGCCACAGCTGCCCTGGGGCGCACTGACAGAGGCGAGGCTGCCGAGCACTGGCGCCACCAGTCCCTCCGACCACCACCAGCAGGCAATGTGGGTTAAGTGTCTTGCCCAAGGACACAACGACAGCGACAGACTGAGCGGGTCTCGAACCTGCGACCTTCCGATTGCGAGGCGAGCACTTAACTCCTGTGCCACCGTCGCCCAGAAGGACTTCGTGGTCGACTGTATCGAAAGCTGCAGATAAGTCCAGCAATAGTAGGACAACATCGTTGTCCATGTCACCGGCTAAAAAAGTGTCATCAAAACCATTAAAAGAGCAGATTCAGTGCTGTGACCTGCCCTGAATCCTGACTGAAAGGTCTCCCATAAATCATTTGTGTCCATAAAGGCAACCAATTGTGAATACACGACCTTCTCCAGCAGTTTGGAAAGAAAAGGGAGTTTTGAGATGGGCCTGTAATTAGCTAAGGTTGTCACATCCAGCCCCGGCTTTTTCAACATAGGATGAATAACAGCCTTCTTAAACGAGGACGGAACCATACCAGAAGTAAGACTGCCATTTATGATTGCCAAAAGAAAAGGGCCTATCACTGGAAAGAGTTCTTTATAAATTCTAGGGGACAGCACATCACAAGGAAAGCCAGATGGTTTAAGCTGAGCGACCAGTTTTTCCAAGTCCGATAAGGATACAGGCTCAAATGTTTCCAGTGTTTTAAAAAACAACCCGATCCTATCCTTAGCGGCGCGGTGCGGTGCGGCACGGCGCACCGATTCTGGGCCACTTCTGAAAATTGCCTCGTCGTGGATGGTTGGTTACAATCCATAGACTATAATGGATTTCATTCAAGTGCTGTTGCTGCTGTTGTGTCCTTGGGCAAGACACTTAACCCACGTTGCCTGCTGGTGGTGGTCGGAGGGACTGGTGGCGCCAGTGCTCGGCAGCCTCGCCTCTGTCAGTGCGCCCCAGGGCAGCTGTGGCTACATTGTAGCTCATCCCCACCAGTGTGTGAATGTGTGTGTGAATGGGTGAATGACTGACTGTGTTGTAAAGCGCCTTGGGGGGTTCCAGGACTCTAGAAGGCGCTATATCAAATATAGGCCATTTACCATGCTGTGTTTCCGCGCCGCTTTTGCTTCCAGTGTGCAGTAGGGGTTAGTCAGTGATTCAGTGAACCAAGGTACACACACACACACACACACACACACACACACACACACATACACACACACACACACACACACACACACACACACACACACACACACACACACACACACACACACACACACACACACACACACACACACTGCTCTTTAACCCTTTAGCATACCGACCTCCCCCATTGGACAAACACACGACAGTCATGTGACCCGGAAAAACCCAACACTGGCTTGTGCCGATGTTGATGCAGACATAACATGCATCCTTAGTTAAAACCTTCACCCAGAAGCAGCGTGCAGCTACATCAAGGTTGCAGTAAACCCTTTCATTTGTACACAAATCTTGTATTTTTGCCATGAGTCACCCTGTACACACGAGGCATGTGACAGCATGGACGTGACGTTTTGTGAGGCATCAGACCTGAGAGCTTCCTGTGACCTCTTACCCGTAGTGAGGTGATGGTCGCCGGGTCTCGGATGCGTCCGTCCTCATCCTTCAGGTTGTAGCCCTCTGGGCGCTTGTCCCTTTCACTGATCTTCCACAGCTTGACAGTCTTGTCTGGGATGGACCCATCACAAGAGCACACACACCGAGGGCATAAAAAGGGAGAAAATACATTCAGATCATAGCTCAGCAGTGGGTCCTCCCTTCAGCATGGGTGTAAGGGGGTTGGGCAGCCAATCTGGCGTGTAGCTGGGCAGCAGCCAGAGAGGGCGATGAATGGCGGCTCATGTGTAGATTCTGATGCCACTGACATCCATCTACAAGTTGACTTCCTTTCCCTGAAAAGCCATCTGGGTGCTTTCCATTCCTGCTTCATGTAAACACCACTTACATGTCATCCTCTCGGTCTGCTGAAGTAGACGGCAGCACCAGTCAGGTTGTTGCCTCCGTTCTTCCTCTTGTTGAGTTTCTGCTGGGAACACTGGTGTCAGAGCCACGAAGCCGTTACCGGGCCCTCCACCATCTGCTCCAGCCACCACTAGCACCTCAGTAGCAGCCATGCATGAAGCCCACAATCTGCACCATGTCGCTCTGCTGATGTGTGTGTGCCATTCTGAGCTGGAGCATGTGTGTGTTCCTGCAGCAGCCATGCATGATGTCTTTAATTTGAAAATCTTCAGCTGGTGGCTCCTGCTCAGCCGAGCGTAACAGCCGTCCACTCACACAGAACACCGAAAAGACTTTTCTATGTGATAGCATCTTCACCTCCACCAGCTCTTCTCAATCACTAGTGGGTCTAACAACAACCGCAGCCCTTTGTTCACTAAACTCAAGAGAGCTCTTTTTGAGGACTTCTGTCCCTGCTTTGCTCCTTACTGTATGTCTCCCTGAGTGACTTTATTGACTGACCGTTGGTGGAAAGCAGGAAGTACGCGGCGTTCTGCTGAGGCAGCCATTTGATCTTGTTGATCTTCTCCTCAATCTCCAAACTCTTCAGGTAATCGAACTCGGGTTCGTGGCTCTGGAATGTGCTGTAAACGTTGTACTCCCCTCGGCGCTGAGGCTGGGTCTTACTCTGATGGAGAGAAGAACACCATCACAGTGGAGAAATGACAAATATCCCACATTTATCCCGGTTTCCAAACTCCCCGTGTTTTATTCCCACTAGCTATACCAGCCACCATCATTTTCTGGCTTATTATAGTTATTTACGGTAAATCAGAACCCGACCTTGTCTCAGCCTCTCCCAGCTAGAACCAGTGCCTCTCTAATGAATCTCCACGTGGTCAACCTGCTGCAGAAACTCCCAGTTCCCTACAACCGGGGAATATCCTCCTTCTTTCAGGTGTTGCGTCGGTTAACTGAGATTGTTCTGGAGCTTTACTTAGAGCCCTTTGATGGCTCTAAAAACAGTTGTGTTGTAGGTGATGGGGATCTTTGCTCCCATCAGAGCCGAGCTGCGGCTGTCAGGTGGATCTAACGCCCTGGAGGTCACCGGGGGTCTCTTCCCTCCATGGAATTGTGTTTATTCACACCTGAATGCTCCGAGCTGACATTTGTTATTCTTCAAAACACTTTAAATGGATGTTTTAAAATGATGTTTTCATGCAAAGTTTGTTGCTGGCTTCCTGAACAGCCTTAGTTCAGAGAAACAGATTAACACTTGACAGGATTGATGAGCTAATGACTCGTCTGAGCAGCCAAGATAAATCATTTCTATTAAAATCTGTAATTATGAGCATGAAGATGAATAACAGCAGCAAACATAGAGTGCTCCTGCGACCATGTGTGGCTTCTATTAGACACAAATGTGAAAATCTATGTTAGCAGTTCATTGTTAGCACGTGTGGGATGTTTTTGGAAGTGACTGCATCCTCTCCAGACTGCACAAATACAATTCATTTGAGTGTTGCATTTGCATTTTCAGCCAGTGTTTGAGGATCTTAGGCAGGTTTTCTTTTCGATTATCGCTCCTTAACCCCAAAACAAACAATAATACCTAAACGCTACAGAGCTGTCGTGCTTTTAGTAGAAAGGAGAAGCATAATTAGCGATGCACTGTTGGCATCTCCTACCTCCTGCTCCCTCTGGAAGACAACCACTCTTCCTCCTTTATCCCCGGTGGCCAACAGCTCCCCCGTTGAGTTAAACTCCACCGTTGAGATGATGTCAGCTGCAACGCAGGAAGCAGAGCAGAGAGAGGCAGAAAAATGTCAGCGTGGACATGAATAAATCCGTCAACATAACAAAAAAGGCTAAAGGAAGCAGCTTCCAGTGGGATCTAGTGATGTGACTTGGAGAAAATATTTCAGGAAGACTAATCCACAGAGGGGTATTTGGCACAGATACCCAGTTTGGTGGAATCTGGGTTAGGAGAAACCTCTGGGTGAGTCAATCCGCCTTTCGTCTGGCTAAAGGCAAGCTGGGATGTGATTGCTCTCCAGTTTCTGACGAGAATCACTCATTCATCAACAGTGTGAGACCTCAGGCTGCTCCACTCTGCCACAAATCCCACCCCCAGCCCTTTCACACGCTGGACTTTTGAGCAAACTGATCCTGAAACCGACCTGATCAAATGTCGTCTGTGTTGAACAGTTCCACCAAAATGTAAATAACGGACACCGAGTCTTCAGGTAGGAAACACATGTCTGCCTGGACTTAGGGGAGGCTGAGGGTGACTGTAATTACTACACAGCCCCAGGCTAACAGGACCGCATCTCTGTCTCTCTCTCTTATAGGGACACACACACACTCTCTCATATGCACACACTCACACACACACACACACACACACACACACACACACACACACACACACACACACACTCACACACACTCACTCATAAGCACACACTCACACACACACACACACACACACACACACACACACACACACACACGCACACACACACACACACACTCACACACACACTCAGTCATATGCACACACACACACACACACACACACACACACACACACACACACACTCACACGCTTACACACACACACACACACACACACACACACACACACACACACACACACACACACACACACACACTCACACACACTCACACACACTCACTCATAAGCACACACTCACACACACACACACACACACACACACACACACACACACACACGCACACACACACACACACACACACACACACACACACACACACACTCACTCACTCATATGCACACACTCACATGCACACACACACACACACACACTCACACGCTTACACACACACACACACACACACACTCACACACACACTCAGTCATATGCACACACACACACACACACACACACACACACACACACACACACACACACACACACACACACACACACACACACACACACACACACACACACACACACACACACTGTGATAATATTAGACAGAAAAAGAGAGCGCTTGTTGTTTTGTACCCCTCTGCCCTCTATGGACCTGCTGCTGTCTGAGCTCTGAACAGGAGAGGGGAATGTTGCTATGGAGACCGTTTCCATCTCTAGTGGCAGTCAGAGTATATCTGTGTGTGTGTGTGTGTGTGTGTGTGTGTGTGTGTGTGTGTGCCAATAGCTTGCAGACTTAGTTGCTGATGCTAGCTGTAATTCAGCCGACAGAGACAGAGAGACAGTGCTGCAGTAGAGTGGAAACCTGCGTTGGGCTTAATGCAGCAGCACCACTCCACACAATGGAGCCGGTTCATCGTACCACAATGGGAATGATTTGGTGCCGAGTCGTCTGCTGGTTTAAGTTAATTGTTAGAGGGATGATCACATGCACAGATGAGGCCGGAGGGATTCTCCTGACCCTGTGTTAATAACAACATGAGGTGGGGGCCAGCACTAATCAGAGTTGATTAAAGAAACTAATAATCTTCCACATAAAAGACGGTGACCTAATTACAGCCTGAGATCATAACTTCCAGGTCGTGCTGTGATTGTTTGCTCTTCTGCACCTGATTGAAAATGAAAACTACCTGCAGAAATGTGCATGCACAGAGATTCATGACATGAAGCAGTAAGCAGTCGGCATTTTTATTCATAGTCTGCATCCTTTCTGCTATCCTGATTCTGTCATGATTAATGTCTGTTTTCACACAGCTTTGAAATACAAAGCACAATTTATGGGATAGCAAGGTTCAACCGACTTTCCTAACGTCTGAAATCTTTTTGCACACAAACTTATATCACAGCTTTTTTAGTAGAAACACAAATTACACATGAAAATGTTGAAATCTTTCCCTTCCTGCATCTATAGGGCGTGTGTTTGTTCCAATCCACCAGACTCCAGCGAGACGTCTACAGCCCTGAACACATTTGCTGTGGGAGATGGAGGGCAATGTGGATTCTTGCTGCTTCTCCAGGAACGTCATACACTTGTTTCATTTGTTGAACAAGTGATCATTCTGGCTGAAGTTGCTTTAAAAGCGTTAAACCAATTTAGGACATGGTCACAACCCAGTGGTGGAGCCGAATCTACGGTTGTCCTTCAGACGGTCTCCACATACAGCTGGGACAGTGCTAGGACCAATCAGAGCAACGAACGAAGTGACATATTCATCGCCATGGCAATAAGTCAACAGGGTAGTCTGCCACGCCGTCAATGAAGAAGAAGCAAATACATCATCAGGTGCCGTTATTCGCTCATGTCTCAAAAGGCTCAAGTCTAAATCGTCCAAAGTTCATGTCAAGGCTGTTTTAAACCAGCGTTCTTCCTGCACCGTCACCATCTTTGTAGTTTTTCTCTGTCGTAGCTCTGGTACTGAGCCCTTCCAGTAAACGTAGAGCGCTGTGACTGGCAGGACACACAACTGTTCGGGCCGGTGGTAGACCTGCTGAGGCTACAACGGAGCGAGGACCTGTAGCTACAGTTGGGTCTTGGGTCTACTTAAAAAAAAAACGCATAAACAGTGAGACGTTTATCAAGTATGGGCAAAAAGACTAATTTAGACCATTTATGCCTTCAGTGTAAATGTGGAGATGTGGTTACCATGGCAACCTTATCCATGAACCACTTTCTGTTGGTTCCCTTTAAACTTCTCCTGAATCCCAGTAGTCTCAACGTGTTCTTCTACAAAGCTGATGTGGAAATTTCAGGCTGTAGTTTTGTAATTTCTTCAGTTTCATTTTTAATGCTTCTCTTTTTCTCTCATCATCAACACATGAAGCCACTGAGAGGAAACAGCAACTGATGGATGTCGTTTAACGACTTTTCACTCAAGTGCATCATTCGTTTCTTTGTCTCTGTTGCAGAAGCCTGCACTGAAATGATGAGACGCTCCGGTGGATGGGCTTTCCTAAATGCAAATGAATTCAAACAGGACATTTAGCCTCTGATGGAATTCTGTTGAAACGGGAATGATTTCTATGAATGTGTTTGAATAGTGAAGGAAATTCTAGCACTGTGAGTCTCTGTTGGGTCAGGATGGATGAGAAAAGGCACACACACACACACACACACACAAACACACACACGCACACACGCGCACACATACACACACACACACACACAGAGCTACATCAGCAGACCATAACCAGATGAAGGCCATAAATCCTGGGGCTAGCAGGTTTAACAAAGACAGTTCAGGGTTCCTGATGTATCAGAGGCATGCTTCAGATAGCAACACATCCATCAGCGGTAACAACGCAGTCTGCTGCTGTAATGTGTGTATGTACCCCAGAATCAAACCTGGCACGGCACGACGCCCCTCCCCTCCCCAGCGTTGTTTTATTGACAGTCAGCAGCCCAACCAGGAGGACGGAAACACAGATTGATTCAGAGATGGAGCCAGAAGTCCATTGAATTTATTTATAGATGGTGGATGTGGCGGATCAGGTGTGACAGAGCCGCTAAAGGGAATGATACGGGGAAGTTTGTTTGCCTTAAATAGGCTGAAAACAGGCTGGAGCTAAAGCGGGAGCCCCCTGGCTAACCTCAACACCACCCATGATCTGGTGTTGAGTGGACAAACAAACAAACCTGGCTTCGTTCAGCAGGATGGTGGAGTTGTGTAAGACGTACACACCCCAAAAGGGAGGGAGGGAGTGGAAAACTAGTTGCGTAAGTTAAGTGAGATAACTCCAGGTTGAAGGAGAGCAACATGGTGAAAGCTTTTGTTAGACAGGGAGAAGAGAGGATTATATCACTTGTGCTGAGCTGTCTGCGTCAAAGGATCAGGCCAGCGGATAATTCCAGTGTGTTCTCGTACTCTCCTTCACCTGCCGGTGTCGTTCTGACGCTGATTACAGATGAAATCCATCATTCTGGGCTTCTTTTCTTGCTGGAACATGAACTAACACGTAAGAATCCCATTCACAGACCTAAAAACCATTATTAACCTGAACAAGCAGCTGATAACGACCTCATTTTGCACCGGCAACAATGGAGATCAATGAGAATTTTGAATAAACCTACTGACCTGGTTGCCAGCCGTATGATTAGAGGTTTATTAGCGGCACACAAAGCAACAGAGCACAATGCAGCCCCCTTCCTCCGAAGAGCATGCCTCTTTGTAAGGTGTGGAGAGAACAAGCTAATTAACCTGGTTTCTCCAGGATCAGCCCTTGAGACCGTTGCCGGGTGCATGGTGTGGTTTTCTGTAATGCATGTGTATGTGAGGAGATTCTTTTGTGCTTTTTCTATCTCCAGGGAGTTAAAGGCAAAGTGGGCGAGGCGTGCTACTGCTCCTCTCCTCACACTTCATTAACACATCGCCGTGGCCCACATCTGACTGCAGACACAACACAGGACAAGCGGGGGGAGAAGCCGGCTCCTCCCGTATCCACTACGATGAATACCGAGCGGCATCATTGGAAATACCGTTTTATTTGGTATTCTGTCAGAAAATGAAAACCTAGAAGAGCAGAGGGGGATGGTCTGGAACCAGGATCCAAAAGAAAGGCTCATCTCTGACTGTCTATCTGCTTCACTTTGGTGCCGCTCCTTTCATCTTACGGCCTTTCAAGGCTGAATTCATGATTAGGTGCCTGCTACATGTTCTGTACTCATGTTTTTATTCTCAAAACATAAAAGATCTTGAGTGTCAAGGCTGTCTTGACAGGACGCAGGAATTCAGTATCACAACTTACAAATGTATGCCGTCGCCAAGTCGAGGAAGGTCAAACGGCTTTTCAAGGCCAGCCCAGGGTTTTATGTGTATAAAGGTTTATTAATCATCCTCTAATGCACTCATCTGGTTTTGGCATTCAATAATGATTCTTCACTTCAGTTGCTTCTGTCCTGCTGTCACTGAATTTGACCAATTCAGATGAATATTCAAGAATTATAATTTTGTTTTTTGCTGGTTAATCTGGTCATGAGCTTTGGGTAGTGACCGAAAGAACGAGATCGCGGATACAAGCGGCCGAAATGAGTTTTCTCCGAAGAGTGGCTGGCCTCTCCCTTAGAGATGGGGTGAGAAGCTCGGTCATTCGGGAGGGGCTCGGAGTAGACCCGCCGCTCCTCCACATCGAGAGGAGCCAGTTGAGGTGGCTCGGGCATCTGGTCAGGATGCCTCCTGAACGCCTCCCTGGTGAGGTTTTCCGGGCACGTCCAACCGGGAGGAGATCTAAATGTAGACCCAGGACACGGTGGAGGGACTATGTCTCTCACCTGGCCAGGGAATACCTTGGGATTCCCCTCGGAGGAGCTGGCCCAAGTGGCTGGAGAGAGGGAAGTCTGGGCCTCTCACCTTAGGCAACTGCCCCCGTGACCCGACTCCAGATAAGCAGATGATAACGGATGGATGGATGGATGGATGGATGGATGGATGGATGGATGGATGGATGGATGATCTGGAAAATGTCTCAGAAGATCTGTTGGTGTGAGGTCAGAAGTATTCAGACCCATGTCAGAGTTCTTATTTCTGCTTGGCAACGGCGCATTGATGAACCAGAAAAATAAAGCAGTTTTGGACTGTCAGACTGGCAGATTACCAGTTAAACCAATTACGCAGAACAAGGGTCGTTTTATGGTGCTTCTCTAATTTTACCCATTTACTCTGTTACTGAGCAAAAAGAGCCGCGATAATCAAACCTCCAGGAAACACGTTTACACCACCCTGCGTGTAAAGAGCTCCTGACAGTGGTTTAAAGGTTTATAAAATAGTCTTCTGATAAAAACGGGAGGTTTATTACCGTATTACAACATTAGGACAGTAATAAACCTCCTTGGTCTTGGCTGAACTCAGACATCAAACAAGCTATTTCTCCATAAGAATGAGAAGCCACCAGCAACCGGTAAGATGGCCATTATTAATACTTTTTAATCAGAAACCGCTATCAAAACGAAGCTTTATGTGACTGTAAGGAACACGACTCACGCTGTGGAGAAAACATTCATAACCTACAGCTGCATTTAGGGGGAATTCTTTAATGAATTCCCATTAAAATTTCATGGTGTTCCGGACTTAATAAGAAGCTAATCAAGGGATGAAAGCAGCTGCTGAAGAAAGAGTGTGGCTCTCTCAAACTTCACAGCTTGCCATTAAGCCCGTACCACCCCCATGCAAAAAGCTCACACACATTATCTCCCTTGCACTATACCGGGAGGTGGGGCTTGGCTCTGTGAGTGTTTCATAGTGAATAATGGATGGGACCTGAGGGGATGGTAGGCTAAGTCTTTTCATGCCGCGGTCCTAAAGTGTGGCCCCGGGCCGTTTACGTTGGCACGGCGACCAGGCACAGCTCTGCGCTCATCACAGGCAGAACGCGCTGCTACGGGACTCCATCAGCATTCGGTGGGGCTAAAGGAGGTCACACATACAGGCTTGTACTCAAATCAGAGGGACGTGTAACAGAAACGCAGACGGACAATGGATAGAAGATGAACAAGAAAGAGGTGGTGGAGAGAGGGAGGGAGGGATTACATGTCCTATAAATAGATCTTTGGCTCAATGTTCCGGTGACTAGATTGTAAAAGAGCAGAAATCAATACCACAGCAGACGTCCCATTAGGTCTCGTCTCAGCATGAAAGCCATTTACATCTGAGATATAATGTGTTGCCATTTCACAGCATCTTCTTTTCAACCATCCAACGAGAACACACCAAGGCTAGCGTTGGAACAACAGTCCACTCAGTCAGCAAAGACACTTACAGCCCAAGCACCACACCAGTCATCCATCCCATCGTCATAAACAAGCTAGTGTTCATGTTCTGAATGCTAATAAAGATGTAATGATCCTCCATAAACATAATAACAACGATGCTTCTGAAAACTCGGCATTAGGGTTGGAGACATTTTATCCTGCATACATCTATGGATGACCAGCTCACATTAGAGTCAACGTACCCACCAACGGACCCGTTGAGGCGTGGGATTGGTGCGAGACAAAGGTCAGCATGGGTGACATCATTAAAGTGTGACATCAGTAATGTGTGCTGCTGCTGCGGGCGAGAACGGTCTGAGCTCCCCACCAAAAGGTGTGTGTGTGTGTGTGTTTGCCCATGTAGGGTTGTGAACGTGGGTTTGCATGTTTGTGTGTGTGCACATGGGTTTGTGCCGGTTTGTGCACATGTATTTGTGCATCTATGTGTGTGTGTTTGCATGTGTAGGGTTGTGCACGTGGGTGTGTGTGTCTTTGTGTGTGTGCGTGTGTGTGACCCGAACAGGTCTGATGGAGAATGTGCTCTTTGGTAGGATCATGAGAAGGACCAGTAGACCTAAACACAGCTCCTGTGTGATCTCTGGCTCCAGACCAACTTTGCCGCATTGAGGAGGTGTGAACACACAGACGTGCACGCACCGACACTTCTTCATGATCTATGAAGTGTGACGATCATTCATAAATTAAAGCAATAAAAAAGTAGACATGTGAAAAGCACAGATGGGCCTGCGACAGGATGATCCTTAGCTTTCAAGGAGACACGTTTCACTACCCACCCTCTCCTGATCCTCCGAATGCTCCAGAAGGAGTGGGAGAAGATTCCCCTCCTGCTTTTTTTCATCTCAGCTCACACATCAAACAAAGATATCCATCACTCCCACCCCCACTTCGCCTCGTCTCGCTGTGAACCCGTGACTGTGTGTTTAGCAGTGACAGGGAATCATCGAATACGTGTTGGAGCTGCACAAATGACGGTACTCTCCTGCATGTTAAACAAGCCAAAGGAGGAAAATTTGTTCTTCTAGCCTTGACATTGCCTCCTGCTGGGGTACCTGTAACCTGAGCTTTGGGCCGAGGGAATAAGTTGTAGTAACTGACCAGTAGTGACCCACCCTGCAGCAACGCATACCCTCCAAAAACCCCTCTTCTTTTCTGTTTTCAGCTCTGTGGATCATTTGCATAAAGATTTCAATCGACGACTCCTTTGTGAGTGCAGTCATATTTCAAATTAGAGCAGGTTGCTGAATCTAGTGAAATGTGTGTGTGTGTGTGTGTGTGTGTGTGTGTGTGTGTGTGTGTGTGTGTGTGTGTGTGTGTGTGTAAAATGTGTCAGACATGAAGGAATTACAGGTTTTTATGCTGAGAAAACAACACAGTTGAGACTGATTGTGAGGTTGCTGCAGAAGTCTGGTATTTAAAGAGATACATGTGTTCAGTAGTTTTTATTATCTCTAGCTGAAGTTATGGTTCAGAGCCAATATGGTTAATTGCTAGAAGCTGCTGGGTTAATGAGAACTGCAATCGCTAGCACCAATAAATCCTGTTTTATGTTATAACAGAAGCTGTTGGAGGAGTGGAACAAACTGTTTCAGCGTCAAGCGGAAGCCTTCATCATGCTGAGCTGCAGGCAACAGCTATTGTTCAATGCAGAATCATGAGCATGTACAGTACATACTGCGTGTGTGTGTGTGTGTGTGTGTGTGTGCGCGCGCGCGCACGCATACGCGCCGAAGATGGAGATTGATCTTTATTTCATTGTGCTACACCTCGAAGAATTGGGGCACGTGTCCCTTTAGGCCCACACCTGCCTCTCATATCTCAACAAGTGCACGAGGAACCCCATTTTAAACTGCGTAGCCTGTAATCATTCTTTTAATTCCACTCATCATTTTAAAATTGCAGTTGTGACGGAAATGGCCTCATCAGACACGAGCATGGAGTCATCTATAGCCTACGAACATCCACATAGCAACACATAAAACGCAGAGTGACTGTATTCTTATTTCCCAGTTGGACTGGGAGGGTTCTCCTGACAGGAAAGCTTCAGGGATTTATTTTCTTTTTCTAATCCCAACTTTGTTTCCAATTGGCTTAACTGCGTTGGTCTAATTATATTCTACCTTCGGTTGCATAGTTGTGGTCGCGAAGGAAGCTGTTGTTGACTTTCCGGGTGTCATTTTCCTCCTCCATTGATGAATCGGCTGGTTCAGGATCCTGAACGCGGCTGAGCTGCTCCCATCCTGCCCGGTACCGTCAGCAGGCGGGCTGTGGGACCGGTGGGGGGGCTGCCATGGCTCCAACACGACCCAGACCAAACACTTGTGATGAGGACGGAGACGCTCCAGCAATAATCCGCGGCGCAGAGAATCAGCGGACTTCTAGAATGTGTTGCGCATTATCAGGTCCTCCTTTAGTAGTCGGTCTGATTGTAAATCCCAGGAGAAAAGTGATTCAAATGTTTTCATCGCCGCCCAAAAGACCCTGCACAGGTGGCGCAAATGACAGCAAAGCTGCACCTTCTCGGAGGATGAAGTCGCAGCGGCAGCTCCGTAAATCTCTTCTGGAGGATTTGAGTTCAGGCTGGATTCCCCCTCCCTCACGTGCCAGCGGGGCAGGCGGGATTATGCGTCAACGAGCTCCATCAGACTCTCCAAAGTCGCATCTTTATCTTTTCATTTTTCCAAATCGTCTCTGGTCTCCTCCAGTCACTCATTCACCGGAGCGGATCAACACATGGATGTGGGTACCTGCTACTCAGCTGACTCACTCAGCTCAGAGCTGCTGCTGCCGCTGATGAGGCGCTTCAGTAGGGGTGGGGGTGGGGTGGGGGGGGGGGTGGGGGGGGGCCCTCCCTGCTGCCTGGCCGCTGTCTCTTTAAAAAGCCCACCAGCAGCAAATGTGACGCCCATAGGGCCACCACCACCCGAGGAGGACCGCATTCTTGCAGCCAATATTAATCATTGTTATCGAATATCGCAGGTTTTCCTAATATCGCGCAGCTCTAATATATATGAACATGGAGATAAAATATGCTGATTTAGACTTTGTAGGGCAACAATGATTTCCACCTCAGAAGTGCCAAAACTGATTTTAAATAATTATAAACTTCTCAGAAGTTTGAAAATGTTTTTTTTTTTTATCTTTGAATTGCTTGAAAATGACTATTCTGACAGTGAAATCCTTCAATAAAAGATCTGTTTGTCATCTTATTGCTAGCACTTGGCATGGATGAGTTCACTGACTGGGGAAGAAAAAAAATCATACTTATCTTATCACTGGTTGGAAATGGTGCATTCACAGACCTCCCCAAATATCTAATTTTCTATAGGGAGCCTAAGTCACGCCCATCTACTTCAGGACCATGGGTCCTTGAAGAACAATGAAATGAATACAAGACAACAGGGCTGAAAATGTAATTTTCTAATTCCACTGGTTTGGTGCCATAGATTTCACATTTGATGTGAAGAATAAATGGCTGTATGTTTAGTGAACTTCAAATCCTCCCTTCAGGAGGAAAGAACCACCATAAATCTGGCCATGTGGTAAGTAGCAGCTATGCTAGGGCAGAGGAGATTATGTGGTGACATCATGTGATGTGCCAATATCTGATTTGTAGTCATGCTAATTATGAAATTTTACAAGCTGATAAATCTCAAAGTAACGTAACAAGCGTGGTCGAAACACCCATCATTAGTTTTTTATTTAAATTGCAGTACAGCATGTGTGTGATCCAGGGCGTGAGGCAAAGCGGATTAGAAAATAACTCTTTTAGCTCCGTTGACTTCCTTTCATTTTTTTTTTTGTTCTTCCGGGGAGCCGTGAGCCGACCGGAAAGGGAGGAGACATAGGCTCCCTATCGGGCAGTTACATTGGTGATCATTTAAAAATTCTTATGCTCCAAATATTAATTTTACCCTCATGTCTTCTAAAATAATTACTGCGCTATAACATTTCAGTGTTCGAGCACTTCATTAGACATTAAAGCACTTGAGAACACTGAAAATACCACATTTAATTTCAAGCATTTTCAAGAAACGTAAGCACCAGTAAAAACTCGGTTAAATGAATGAACGGTTGTTTTATTCCTGTAATATCCAAAATATCAATATTTGGAGCGTTTATTTGCAGAAAACAACAGATGAAAACAAAAAAATTAATGTTTTCAAATAATCCAAAGAAAACATCTTCAGAGAGCAAAAATCAGCATTTGGTGGCGAAAACCCGCCGTATCTTTGCTTGTTCTACCAATCGTTCCAATTCAGGGACTCTGAGCCAGGCCTAAAAACAACACTGAAGCAGTTCAGTTTTGTTTGATGTCATGTAACATCCATCCACTTCTTGATCACAAAGAGATGCGGACTTCAGAAAAATATGCAAAGGTTTCATCGTTTCTTCCAGAGATGAAACGGAGATAAGAAAATGAGAAAGGCCAGACGCTGATTAATAAGATTAGCAGGGTCACCGTCTGCTCCTCTCTCTGGAAGGATCTCATTTCCATGCTGAGTTTAATAACAGAGCACACATCAAGTCTCCTCGGCCAACCCTTAATCTTCTGTGTGTGTGTGTGTGTGTGTGTGTTGCATCATTGCATCTCTGCCCTTATCTACTCACTTTACTCTAAATCTCTATTTCCACAAAGGGACTGGGTATCTTTTCGGCAAGAGCGTCCACACAGAGAGCATCTCCGGCATCGCCAGCAGCAATTAAGAGATTGTGGAGCCCCCGCTCTTAAATGCATTAACCGTCTAATCCACAGGAGCCATTTGCACATCCAATCCTCTGCTCCCTTGCTAATGGGAATCTCACTGTGAGGGGTGGTGGTGGGATGCTCATAGACAAAACAGGGAGCCGTCCTACACATGCTATTTTACACCCCATCACCTTCCAGTCTCTATCTGCATCAGAATACATTACGGAGCATTACCCATGCAGGAGGAAAACGAAGGTCGAAGCGTCAGCGGAGGTCTGCAGTTCACATGTGTATGTATTTACACTCCTCTGCTTCTCTAATGAAATTTGCAGAGAAACGCTGCCATCCTTGACCCTCTTAGATGTGACTGAGTGGTCACTGGTGTTTCCCATCTCCATCAATATTTAAACAGGATTTGCAAGAACAAAAGAGCCACACACACACACACATGCACACGAATGGCTAAGTTACAGCTGAGCAGAAGGAAAAGGGGATGAAGGTGAAACAATGTGGTTATTAGAATGAAGCCACATGGATGAGAGGTGTTCAGGAAGTCAGACTGATGCACAGAGTGTGAGGACTCAACAACAAAATCCACTTCAATAAAACATCAGCAAATAAAACCAACGTTCTGAACCATTAAACAAACTGGTAAATGTGTTTTTTTTGCATTCATCTCCATACTGAGACCTATGATGCTGATGTCCTGGATTTTGTTTTCATTGTTGGAGCATATTTCTTGCTTTTCTTTCAGTGTGTTACTGTCTCTGAATCAGTATAGATACCCCTAACGCCAAGTGTTGATGACTCTTGAATATCTTCAAGCTTGACCAGAATAAAGTGATTTGACTCAACACTTGAGCGCAAAGATGTAAACATTAAACGGGCTAAACACGTATGCCTTTAGTTGACTGTGTAAATAAAATGTTCTATATTTGTTTAGTTCATTTTCTCCATCTATGTTTGAGCATCTTGAAGAACCTTCAGTAGGAGAAGTGCTTTAGAAAGACTGAAATAGACAGATCTGGATCAGCAAAGCAGTGAAAAGTCATGTTGTGTTTGGTAAGATGGACCTAAAAGAAGGCGTGTAAAATACCAACAGAACTGGGCCCAATGTGGAGCCTTGAGGAACACCATAGCTGAGATGTCCCACACTAGACAGAGACATTTAAGGGTTATGTCTTCAAAGCCAAATACGAGTTCAGACAGCAAACTAGAATGCAGTGACTGACTGTATCGAAGGCTGCAGATTAATCAAACAGCACCGAGACAGTAAAATTACACAGCATTTAAAGTCATTAAGAACTCTACTAAGACATGTCATTGTCAACAATACTGTGCCAGAGCAAATACAGAAATAAAAATTTCTTCCAAAGGCTTCCAAATGTGAAATCACACAACAGCTCAATTGATCCCAAGTTTATTTTTCCAGAGGGTCCCATTTTTCTGCACTCCATTTCTCATTTAAAGCAACAATCCTCAGTACCTCCAGCCACTTGTTCTAGTTACCCCACTACTCTCACTCATTAGACCCCCCCCACCCCCACCCCACCCCCCCACACACACCCCTTTGTTGAAACCAGTGACAGCGCATCTTTAGCCCAGCTGCTGTTCATCAAACTTGCAGGAAAGGCTCGGGGGGCTACCAGAATTGAAGAGCGTGTCCTCAATTCTCCTTGGGCGTACGGACAAAGTGGGTTAAATTAGGCTTGAGCAGCACCAAACACAGGGACACAATCTCACGGCAATGATATTTTAGTCATGGCCAATTGCTTTCCTTGATGTGTGGTAACTGCTTGACCCAGGGATGCAGGTGTGCAGGGCCACAGGTGGCAAAGATGCAGTCTGCATACCAAGCAACACATATGTGTTCACAATGTGGAGATAGTCCGTTCAAACAGCTGCTGTGCAACCCAATAATGCTTAGGTTACCTCATATCTCACAGCTGCAGTCAGTAACATATTGACCAAATGATGGTGCCAAGTTGAAATAGGCTAAAATATTGACTTTTCTCATTCAGTTGATTAAACAAATACAATATTAGCATAAATTGATCAAAAATCTATTTAAGCGCATACAATATTGACTCTTTAGTGAATAGTGTGGACCAACAGATGGAAAACCTTACAGCAATGGATCTCTAAGCAAAGGTTATGAACAATTCACATCTGTTGTAGATAGGCTTTTGAATTATTATGGAAAAACAGAAACAATATAACCAGTTTCATGAGCTTAGGGCTGATCCAAGTGGTACCCAGAAGAAAGTTAATTACTGATGTCTCAAACAACTCTGATCACAAAAACCAGGGCCGTGTTTTCCATGATTATTAGCAACTTTGAGGCCATGGTTCTTGACTGGGGATGATGTCCAACCTCCAGTGAAGGATGTCAGGGTCTTGTACAAGAATAAAGGGAGGTGGGAGCCTGACATGATCTGGAGCAGGGTATGCTGTAAAGGGGTCAAGCCAGAGAGCAAAGCTCCTTATTTAGTGGTTGATTGTTGTTTCAATCCAAACCTGTTTATGAGCTTTGGGTAAAGCCCAAGAGAACAAGATGCCAAAAACAAGTAGCTGAAATAAGTTTCATCCAAGAGTGGCCTGGCTCAGGGATAGGGAGAGGAGCTACAAGGACTCGGAGTAGAGCTGCTGCTCCTTCACGTTGAAAGG